TATTTATATGGAAGCATCCTCAGGTAGTGTAGATTCAAAATTCTTCAAATCATGACCCCCGGGGGTAGGGAAGGGTCACAATGGTCGACCAAAGTTTTACATAGAAATATATAGGAAAATTCTCATCTTCTCAAGAATAGCAAAGCCATGACTGGTCATGGGACTACTTTAGGATTTAAACTTTTCAATAATAAACCAATTTGTATTTTTTTCCTAGCCATAGTGCTCAGATGAGTGATGTGGCCCATGGGCCTCTTGTTTAATATTACTGGTTGGTATTTTAAAGACTTGACAAAATTCAGGTCTACATTTCCATGAATAATCTAAAATATATCATACAACTAGAGCCGAGCTCGTTGCAAAGCAACGAATAGGTCTTCCGTTGGAGCTACGGAATGGAAGACGTAACCTTGAGTCTAGGTCAAACAATTCTAAAGTCATAAATAAATAAGCAACCTAGAGGCTTGTTAAGGAGTTTATACAGGAAAAAGACTGTACAGGAATGTTATGTGCAAGACCTTGAACTTTCTAAATGACCTTGCGACAAGCAATGACAAACTCTGTTATAAAAATACATAATCTGTGTTTTACCGACTGGAAAAGTTCCCGTATGTTTTTTTTTTAGATATTCCTTTAGTCCACATATCTACCCAAAACATCTTATCTTAAGTGACCTTGAACTTGAGTCAAGGTCATGCCCCACCCTGCATTATATGAGCAATGTTTCACTGGTACAAATACGATTGAGAATTTAAAGTTTCTCTGTCAGTAACAGTGACTCGTCCAAAAGACTGGATATGTTCAGTCAAATTTTTTTCTGAACATATATCGAATCCAAAGAATTTATTAGGTTCAAAACTATGATTTACATAATGATTTTACTAGAAATATATCTATAGGACATAAATGCCCCGCCCAGTGTATATTAGCAAATAATGCAACATTAAATCTGTATAAGTGTATGACGTTTGTTGAGAATATCTTAAATAGTTTCTTAAAAATTGAAATCTTAAAAATGGATATAGATTATAAAAATCCGTTCAGATAATGCATATAGGCATAAACTTACATAAAAATATCTCAAATGGTTTCTTAAATACTAAGCAAATTGCAAATTAAAGACAGGTGGTGTCGAGGTCACAGGAAAGTGAAGATCAAAATCATATGAAAATGTATCAGGATACTAAAGTTTGATAAAAATGTCTTGAATGGATTCTTCAAAACCGAAGGTCGCCCGTGAGGCACAGTGGTTAGAGCATCTAATCTACACTAAGGTTTGGATAGCTCTCATAAGTGTGTATCAGTATATGAAGTTGATAAAAAATATATATTTTTCTTCAAAACTGTCTGAGCTAAATACTAACTGAATTACAGGGACGTAGCATCCGGGGGGGGGGGGGGGGGGGGGGCTGCCCCCCCCCCACTTTTTTCATCAACATTACCTTTAGTATACGAAATGTTAATTGAAATGATGGTTGGCCTTCCCACTTTTTACCATAGTATAGTGATATGAAGGAATTGTTTGAAAATGTAGTAAAAGTAGTAAAAAAAATTTTGGAAGTGAAGGTACCTTGCCTTTGAAAAAGTTGGCCACTACCTCCCCCCCCCCCCCCCCCCCCCCCCCCCCCCCCCCCCCCCCCCCCCCCCCCACGAAATAGGATTTTCGAGTTTGGGAAACTTTTTAACTTTTTTTTTTTGGTTTGCTTGTCAACTTTTTTCAGGCAAGTAAAAAAAATTTTTGATATATGTTTCTGAGTTAAACACTAACTTAAGAAAAGTTAGGTTAAGGTCAAAGGAAAGGTAAAACAAAATGTTGATGCAGTTACAAACGTGTAGCCTATAGTACGTATCGGCACATATCAGTGCATACATGTATCGGCACATGAAGTTTGATGATACTATCTTGAATGGTCTCTTTAGACAGATTTAAAAAAGGTGAGATTAAGTTCAAAGGAAAGGTCAAAGTCAAAATATGTCGATGCACGAAAATAGCTCTCATCAATGTTAATCAGCATAGGACGTTTAATATAAAAAAAAATTGAACAGTTTCTTTGAAATTGAGCTTTGAACTGAGGTAAACGCAAAGCGGTACCAAATTGAACAGTTTCTTTGAAATTGAGCTTTGAACTGAGGTAAACGCAAAGCGGTACGGAGGGACAGACGGAAAATGGAAGACGTACATGACAAACAATATATGCCCAGCCTTTTTATGGGGAAGCATCAAAAACAAAGGTTCAATGAGAATGTTTTATTTGAAATTTGGAGACTTGTGAAATGATGCGTGGAGACCGATCCTATGGATGAGACCGGATAAATCAAGGTCTTGTGTCGTGGTACATGTAGGTGCTGGCATGAAAAGGATCCAAAGCACCTGATTCCATCAGGCATAAAACTTGAAATTAATAAATGCACAAGCGAATACGATTGATTAAAACAAATATGAGATAAAGTGAAATAAAATAACATATATGATATAACGGGTAATTTTTACTGCTGTAAATTTTTACGAATTTCGGTCCAAAAATGGTGATTTAAATTTTTACACGTTGATCTTTTACGAATTGAATATGTCCGTAAAAATTAAAAACATCAGACTAAAATTCCAGATCATATTGAATGCATTAACATGCATTCGTACAAATAATGTGTCCAAAAACTCTATGAGAGAGAGAGAGAGAGAGAGAGAGAGAGAGAGAGAGTTATTAAATTGATATATCAATATAAACAATGCAACAAATTACATAATGAATTGTATAGTTTTTTTAATAACCTTTATATACATAAGCAATGTACCATTCATTTATTCGTGTGTTTTTTTAAACACATAGCTAGGCACACGTGCACGTCTGGTATATTTACAGAAAACAAAGAGAGACAACTCAAACTAACATAACTGAAGTGAATGTATTCAAGTACAGCGTATTAAGAGGTCGAAGCTTTATTCAATGCACTCGAAGTAGAAGACGGTGTCCAAGATTGAAAACACGGGTATTCATTTAATTGGAAGACCTGTCATTATTAAGTCATTATCAGAAGTTATGCGTCTCGAAAAAAAAAAACTTAAAACGAGTAACCAGGTAGGTCTAACTGATAAATTAATTGACGGTGTTTATAATTTATATACAAGTTAATTGAGATTTACCTGTATGATCCCAATCGATGATTGGCTTAAAAGTGCTCAAAATACTAACAGTATACTAATTATATAGCCTCCATGGAGTGCATGAGCTTAATAGCAATTAGCAATACTTTTACACATACCATGTTAAAAATTTATACGAGCCGTTTTATAAATTATGTGAAATTTTACGCGTTTAAATTTAACGGATTTATAAACCTGAAAAAATTCCCGTCATTCGGTAATATGAAAGAGGCGACATGATTCCACTATTGGAGTACACGATGTATTTTTAACATTCGACATGCCTGCGGCTCTCTGTGGCCACGCACGTTAAAAAAATAATGGAGAAACAAAAGAGTGATGGTAAAAATAAAACGAACATATAGTACATTACCTATCTCAAGACTCCATCACTAATTATAATTATTTGCCGAAGCCCCTTTTCAATTACAATTTTAATAAAATACATTAACACGGAATAGAGAAACAATTTTGCGTGAACAGGCCAAAGAAAGCGATCAAAATTCAAAATGATTTTATGCAGTGTTAGAAATTGCGATTTAATGTAAGCATGGTAAGATCGGTGAATTATTCTTATTGATTCGATTAATTAAAAACACAATTTTCTATTAATTGATGGGTCTTTGTACACAATGAATTTTATACACGATCACAGACTATGCAGACACTTGCTTTGTTTACGACAACAGGTGGCGGGTACACTAGTGACCTCGATAGGCACCGTGGGATAAGCGCATTGGATTACATAACATCTAGGCGAACGTGGAGATCAACTAAATGATCGTGAATTATTCGATTAATAAAGTTAAAAATTACTTACAATAATAATTAATGTAGAAAGATAGATTTAATATATTCCGATGAAGACGTGTTCACTATAAAACTAATTAATAATACATAAAAAAGAAAGACTAATTGTTATAAAAAATTTAATAGTGAACCGTAAAGCATGTATAAAGACCTTTTTAGAAGAAATTCAACAGTAAATACCATAGGGTATATTATTGATAGGAAGTCTGTGTAAATTATACACATGAAGAGGTCTGATTTCCTTTCCAAATAAAAAACGCTACCTGTTTACCTGGCCTGCTTTCTACTTCGTGTTACGCAATACCCCCGGTATAATCGAGCAAAACAACATTTTCATCAGATCAAAAAGGTGTCAAAGAACAATTTTGATCGTAAGATCCAGATCGAAATTTTTACCGTTTTCGAGTTATAAATCAAAAGCTTTCAAGTTCCCTAAATCCCTAATTATAGGGGCCAGCCCCTTTTGAGTAGTTTTATATGAAAGCCCCTGCAATTATGCACAACTTTTGTTCTACATGTCTTAACAAAATATTTTTAGTTTTCAAGATATAAAGGAAAATATGTGTAAATTTTCGCTTTTTTAGGCGTTCTAATTTTTGACCCCTATATAGCGCCATTTTGAATACAGAAATCGAAAAACAAAAACCGATGTGCACAACTTCAATCCATCTATTATCTAAAAACAGTAAAATTTCTGCTCCAGCTCTAGTGGTCTCTGAGCCTTTATCTGGAAATGAAAGCCTATAATTTTTCGTTTAAAGGGGAATAACTCATAAGCGGAAGTAAATTTTTGAAATGTTAGGCAGCATTCTGATAGAGTTTATTATCGTCTATAATGTCTGAAAATTTGAGCAAAATCCATTGAGAAATGAGCGAGATATGAGGCCTCATAGTTGGCGTCTAGGAAGAAAAAAAAAAAGAATAATAAGAATAATCTTAATCATCAGAATCAGTAGAAGGTCTTCCGTTGGAAACGGAAGACCTTAATAACATCAGTCTTTTAAGACATTGAAGCTATACAGAAATATTTACTCATTTAACTGTGTTGATTTTGACAGGTCTCCCAGGATGTGCTGTTGAAGTATGTAAAGCTAAAGAAGAGGAAGAAATCACCATTTTGACAGGTTTGACTAATGCCTAAATTTAGTTTTTTAGCTCACCTTAGCGGAAGACTCAAGTGAGCTTTTCTGATCACATTTTGTCCGGTGTCAGTCTGTCTGTAAACTTTTCACATTTTTGTTCTCATTGACAAGAACAACTGGGCGAATTTCAACCAAACTTGCTACAAAGCATCCTTGGGTAAAGGGGATTTGAGTTTCTTCAAATGAAGGGCCATGCCCTCATTCAAGGGACATAATTGGGAATTAAGGAAAATTTGGTGGGATATGTTTTAAAAATCTTCTTCTTAAGAACCACTGTGCCAGGAAAGATGAAACTTATGGGGAAACATCCTTAGGTAGTGTAGATTCAAATTTGTTCAAATCATGACCCCCGGAGGTAGGGCGGGGCCAAAATGGCCGACCAAAGTTTTACATAGAAATATATAAGAAAATTCTTTAAAAATCTCCTTCCCAAGAATGACAAAGCCATAATTCATCATATTTATATGGAAGCATCCTCAGGTAGTGTAGATTCAAAATTCTTCAAATCATGACCCCCGGGGGTAGGGAAGGGCCACAATGGTCGACCAAAGTTTTACATAGAAATATATAGGAAAATTCTCATCTTCTCAAGAATAGCAAAGCCATGACTGGTCATGGGACTACTTTAGGATTTAAACTTTTCAATAATAAACCAATTTGTATTTTTTTCCTAGCCATAGTGCTCAGATGAGTGATGTGGCCCATGGGCCTCTTGTTTAATATTACTGGTTGGTATTTTAAAGACTTGACAAAATTCAGGTCTACATTTCCATGAATAATCTAAAATATATCATACAATAACATCAGTCTTTTAAGACATTGAAGCTATACAGAAATATTTACTCATTTTACTGTGTTGATTTTGACAGGTCTCCCAGGATGTGCTGTTGAAGTATATGTAAAGCTAAAGAAGAGGAAGAAATCACCATTTTGACAGGTTTGACTAATGCCTAAATTTAGTTTGTTAAGCTCACCTGAGCCAAAGGCCTAAGAGAGATATTCTGATCACATGTTGTCCTGTGTCTGTCTGTCTGTAAACTTTCCATATTTTCGACTTCTTTTCAAGAACCACTTAGCCAATTTCAACCAAACTTGGCACACAGTATCCTTGGATGAAGGGTATTCAAATTTGTTCAAATAAAAGGCCTAGCCCTCTTCCAAGGGGAGATAATTATGAATTAGCTTTTTTATCTTTTAAAAATCTTCTTCTCGAAAACCATTGGGCCAGGAAAGATGAAACTCATGTTAAAGCATCCTCATGTAGTGTAGATTTAAGTTTGTTCAAATGATGACCCCGGGGGTAGGGCGGGGCCACAATGGCTGTCAGATCAAAGTTTTACATAGGAATATATAGGAAAAATCTTTGAAAATCTTCCTCTCCAGTACTACTGGGCCAGGAAAGATGAAGCTCAAGTGGAAGCATCCTCAGGTAGTGTAGATTCAAGTTTTTTTCAAATCATGACCCCAAGGGGTAGGGCGAGGCCACAATTGACGATTAAAGTTTACATAGGAATGAATACATTGGAAAATCAGTTTTTTTTAAACTCTTCTTTTTAAGAACTATAAAGCCATGATTGGTCATATCTTTATGTAAGCATCCTTACGTAGTGTTGATTCAAGTCATGAATGTGAAGTAGGGGGTAGGTAGGGTGGGCCACTATTGGAAATCTATAAATATCAAGGAATTTTTTTTCCCAAGAACAGAAAAGTAATGTTTAATCATATAGATACGGAAGCATCCTCAGGTAGTACAAAGTCATACTGGTTCAAATGAGGGCTACCACGGTTAGGGCTGGGCCACAATGGGAGGGGGGGGAGTCAAATGAATAAATAGGGAAAAATCATCTGCTCAAAAACAGTAAAGGCATTTGTTGTATGGAAGCATCATCGGGTATTTGGTAGTTTAAAATTTCTGAACACCCCCCCCCCCATCTAAACTACTCAATACTGAAGTGATTTCTGCTTTTATTTCTTATCCAGTGTGCACAGGTGAGCAATGTGGCCCATGGGCCTCTTGTTATAACTGTGTTAAAATATACAGTAATGATAACTATCTATAGAGTCTCATAGTTCCCGTAGAACTTTCCTATCTAACACTTTGTTGTAATAACTATGAATTAGTAATGGTAAGAATGCAGATTTTATCATGATTTTTCTTCTGTAAAGACTGAATTGTAAATACAATGTTATAGAATGTCAGGTTTTAAATGATTTCATGTTAACATCTATAAGAATCTGAACTGTTTTCCAGTATGTCACAATTTATATGTGTTTTAATTATAACTATTGCTTTGTTAGACAGGTTTAATTGAGAACACTTGGAGGCTGCTATGAATGGAGACAAAGCATTGAGAAGCCAGTGTCAAGGTATTTATGTTTATCTGGTAATTCTATTTAATTGTTTAACACTGTATAAGTTCTTAAAACCCAAACATTTTACAATGAGTACATTTGTTATTTATAAACAGTGTGTTCCTGATGTAGATAATTCTAGAACAATGTTGTAATTTACAGAGAGATCTCCCTGACTGAAGGAAATCAACACAGGATTATAAAGTCACAGGAAAAAGAAATAGAAGTCTGGTGTCAGTGATGTATAGACTGGTGTTACAGGAATCTGTCACAGTGACAGGTGTTAGTAGGTGTAAACACATTACCCACGTGTCAACAGACCGGGTCTGGATCAGTGATAGTGAAGGCAATCTCATCTTAACTAACACGAGAGGTGACATTCTAGATAGTGTGACGGATTTAGCTAAATATGGTGGTGGAGTACATACTGTGACTCAAAATGGTGATGTGATTTATATAGACAGTGACTTTAACATCATAAAACGATCTAAAGATAAAGTAAAGACCACAGTGATACCATACAACACATCACCATGGAGACCACGGTGTGTCTACAGCTCCCCCTCCACTGGAGACCTGCTGGTCGGGATACGTAATACTGATACATGGACAGGCCAGGTAAACCGTTACACTAACACAGGAGAACACATACAGACCATACAGCACGACAACACAGGTCAGGGACTGTATAGTGATCCTAGATACATCACAGAGAACCGCAATGGAGATGTTATTGTGTCTGACGTTAACCGTGGTGTAGTGGTGACAGACAGTAAAGGAAGACATCGCTTCTCCTACAGAGGTCCTCCATCAGGATCAGGACTACGGCCACTAGGAATCTGTACTGACGCTCTGTCACACATCCTGGTGTGTGATGATAACACCCACACAGTACATATCATTGATAAAGACGGTAACTACCTGACAGAGTTAGATACAGAACAACACGGGATAAACAGACCATGGAGCCTGAGTTATGATGACATCACCCGCTCTGTCTGGGTAGGATCAGACTACAACAACACAGTGAACATCTACAGACTTATCTATGGAGGGGATAATCTGACTGGTAAGTTATACTGAAGTATTATTATATGTTTGTTTACAAGGTGTAGTGTGTACAATATATTATAGTCTTTGTTTTTTGTGTAATTACAAGACATTACGGAATTATCATAGTGATAACTTTTAAGCGTAAATACATTACATGGTTAAATGAATTCTAACTTGTGTTATATTACAAGAAACATTTTTATGAAATAATATTAATTGATAAGTTGTCAAATTAATAATGATTTGATCTTCATATTAGATTTAATGAGACATGTTAGAGTTATTTTAATGTGTACTTAGTTGTTAACTTTGTTGTCTGTGACAAACAATTCCTGATTTTGTACAGATTGTCTAATGATTTGTTAACATGGTTAAATAACTCTCATTGATTCTGTCTTCTATTTGGGTTAACATGATATTTTTATATTCCTCTGCTAAATGGTTTGTAGATTAAATTTATAGATCACTACAAATGTCAGGAAATGGAAAAATAATTGTACAATTGGGGTTCATGAGTGTTGGAGGGGGGGGGGGGTAATGTCATAGACCTTATCATTAGATAATATATACTTTGAATACGTCATTCAATGTGTTAAAACAAAGTTTAATCACATTGACTACAAACATTTTGTACAGTATTGACAGTGAGATATAGACACCATTGATATTAACACAGCTCTGTCTAGGAATGTTGTGTATTTCTGTAGCAGGTGTTCAGTAAATCTACACTGTGTACTGGGGTGACATTTTACATGTATATTACATGGAGATTTTATGGTTAAAATGAAACCAATGCCAGAATTATAGAGTCATATCAGTGTAACCCCCCCTCCCACCCCCAACTTCACCACACACACACACACACACCCTCTCGCCCTCTCCCATCCTCACACACACACACACACACACACACACAATTTTTTGGGGGTAGGTTTGGGTGGGAAGGAGTGTCACACAGTGTCTCACTTTATCATGCTATTTAATCTTTTTCTTTTAAGTACTGTTTTAGTGAAAAAACCCTTTTTGTTCTGTATTTACACAATGCATTATGTTACAAAGTGATGAAAGAAAACAAGCAATTGTGATTTGATGTGGCCCCTGGGCCTCTTGTTAAAACTTCTTAAGGTTGATAAGATGACGCAGTTAGTTTTTAGCTCTACTGATCAGAGACCAGAAGAGCTTATGCGATAGTAATGCGTCCGGCGTCCGTTCGTCTGTCTAGCTGTCCGTCTGTCTGTAAACAATTTTTCAAAATGCTACTCCTCCTACAGTTTTGGTCTGATTTCAATATAACTTGGCACACAAGTAGACTACACGAGGATACATAATTCTGTGTATCAGTTTTTGATTTTGATAAACGGTGTTGCCATGGTAACTAAAAATAGAACTTCTGTGAAATTCCTTTATAATGCTACTCCTCCTACAGTTTTGGTCTGATTTGAATATAACTTGGCACACAAGTAGACTACACTAAGATACATAATTCTGTTTATTGGTTTTTGATTTCGGTAAAAGGTGTTGCCGTGGTAACTAAAAATAGAAATTTCTGTGAAATTCCTTTAAAATGCTACTCTTCCTACAGTTTTGGTCTGATTTCAATATAACTTGGCACACAAGTAGACTACACGAAGATACACAATTCTGTATATCATTTTTTGATTTCGATAAAAGGTGTTGCCGTGATAACTAAAAATAGAATTTCTGTGAAATTCCTTTAAAATGCTACTCCTCCTACAGTTTTGGTCTGATTTAAATATAACTTGGCAAACAAGTAGACTACACTAAGATACATAATTCTGTGTATTGGTTTTTGATTTCGATAAAAGGTGTTGCCATGGTAACTAAAAATAGAAATTTCTGTGAAATTCCTTTAAAATGCTACTCCTCCTACAGTTTTAGTTTGATTTCAATATAACTTGGCACACAAGTATACTACACTAAGATACACAATTCTGTATATCATTTTTTTATTTCGATAAAAGGTGTTGCCGTGGTAACTAAAAATAGACATTTCTGTGATATTCTTTAAAATGCTACTCCTCCTACAGTTTTGGTCTGATTTCAATATAACTTGGCACACAAGTAGACTACACTAAGATACATAATTCTATATATCGGTTTTTGATTTCGATTAAAGGTGTTGCCATGGTAACTAAAAATAGACATTTCCCTGAAATTCTTACAAAATGCTACTCCTCTTACAGTTTTGGTCTGATTTCAATATAACTTGGCACACAAGTAGACTACACTAAGATACATAATTCTACATATCGGTTTTTGATTTAGGTGAATGTTGTTGCCATGGTTACTAAAAATAGAGATTTCTGTAAAATTGTTTCAAAATGCTACTCCTCCTAAAGTTTTGGTCTGATTTCAATATAACTTGGCACACAAGTAGACTGCACTACGATACATAATTCTATACATAGGGTTTGATTTCAATGAAAGATGTTGCCATGGTTACTAAAAATAGAAATTTCGGTGATTTTTTTTTCAAAATGCTACTCCTCCTACAGTTTTAGTCTGATTTGAATATAACTTGGCACACAAGTAGATAACACTAAGATACATAATGCGGTATATTGGTTTTTGATTTCAATGAACGGTGTTGCCGTGGTAACTAAAAATAGAAATTTCTGTAAAATTGTTTCAAAATGCTACTCCTCCTACAGTTTTGGTCTGATTTCAATATAACTTGGCACACAAGTAGACTACACTAAGATCCATAATTCTATGTATCTGTTTTTGATATCGATGAATGGTGTTGCCAAGGTTACTAAGAATAGAAATGTCTGTAAAATTGTTTCAAAATGCTTCTCCTCCTACAGTTTTAGTCTGATTTCGATATAACTTGGCACACAAGTAGACTACACTAAGAACATAAAGAGATTTTATCAAGGATCATTATTCTATTTATTGCTGTTGTTAAGTTTCAATTCCCAACTGCTTAAGTACTTTTCTCTTCCTTTGCTATAAGTACAAACCAGTAGAGCTTCAGTCTCGATACAGACTTCTGGTTTATTAGCAGAATAGCTCACCTGAGCCGTAGGCTCAAGTGAGCTTTTCTGATCACATTTTATCCGGCGTCCATCTGTCTAGCTGTCCGTCCGACTGTAAACTTTTCACATTTTCAACTTCTTCGTAAGAACCACTGGGTCAATATTAACAAAGCTTGATACAAAGCATCCTTGAGTGATGGGGAATTCAAATTGTCAAAATGAAGGGCCAAGTCCCCTTACAAGGGGAGATAATCAAGAAAAGATGAAAATAGGGTGGGTTTATTAAAAATCTTCCTCTTAAGAACCACTTGGCCAGAAAAGTTGAAACTTATGTGGAAGCATCCTGGGGTAGTGTAGATTCTAAATTATTAAAACCATGACCCCCAGGGGTAGGATGGGGCCACAATAGGGAATCTAAGTTTTATATAGAAATATACTGAAAGGAAAAAGAAACGCAGGGTAGCGTAATTGTCAATAAAAATTTGACCACATGACCGAAAATAACGAAAATGGGTCAGATGGGAAATTTATTTACTGTGCATCAAAATCAGTATTTAGAATTACTCAACCGTAAAATTTATGACGTAACGTAGGGAAACCGCTTAAAAGCCCAAAACACGTGGAATTTGATAACGACGTATTTGTCCACAAATCTTGTTGCTTTATTTGATGCATATGAGGTATGCACATCGTTTTTCAATATTAAGAGACATTATGAATTTATTGCAATCTTGGCACAGTTTACGGAAGTTCAATGGGGTCTTGTTTTCGAATTGCTTAATTAATGAAAAAGGCAACAACCGTTTACTAAGCAGTCTCTTGTAAATTTTCCCCCATAAAACTTTTAAGCCGTTGTCAGAGAGGGTCTGGAGTGGATTTCAATCAACCGTGACGATGACGTTAACGCGAAACAGAGCCATGTTACGAGCGGGTTATTCGTCCTGCCTTCTCTTAAATCGCCACCTTACTACCACAAAAACAGCCATTTATAGTGTACACAATTATAGTCATTACATTCATACGAAATTTGAAAGAAAACAATTCCGCAATTTGGTTTTTTGAGCCAGTCAACTTACTGTTGTATTCCTCTCACTGGCGCATGCGCGCGCCGTTTGACTTATTTTTTTGCCTTGTTACCCATGCTAAATATAGCCAGGGTTTGAAAGATACGCAGTACTGTTAAGGCTACCCGGAGCTTATTATGCATTTAAAACGTAACACTCTTTTGCAAAGTTGATTTTTAGTTTTATTTTTAAGTTATGCACTTCAGTGCGCCAAATTCATACAGAGGATCCCCAAGGCTATATATAAACATATTTGTTACGATGTCACATGACCTTGTTGATCACGTGACGGTCATTTCTTCTTTTTTGAAATGTTTCACATAAATCGCTTCGGCGCAGGTTGTAAACACAATTATTATTTACATTTGTCACATAAATAAACTCGTTGCATCCTTGTGAAACCGAAATGTGCTTGGGAAAAGTTATACTATTTCTTTGGAACAATTTATTTCAGATTAACTTCAACTTACCGACAAATCTGAGGGTATTTTCCACCGAATATCGTCAACTGTTTTAAACAAAGCCACCATACATATTTCCCAAGCAAGATTCAGTTAGAGGGGAAACTCTTTTACATAATTCCATAAAAGATGTTAAATAAATCCTCATAAACAACCTGCGCCAGGCTCTTTTACACACATATTTTGAATTGTGCCTTTGTCCACGAGTATAAAAAAGGGTAAATGTCAAACGTATATTTTCGTACGGAGTTTGAACACGCTGACTCTTAAACAAGAGTAACAAAGCAAGATTATCTATATTATTCGGATATATTACAGTTAAAAAAGTGATAAAAACACATTTATTTTAAACTAGAATTCTGCAACTTTATATGCAGATTGAAATAAAGGTGTAAAGTTTATGACATTCTCCCCATCATTACAGCTCAAGTATGCAGTGACTTGACGTCATTTTCAATTATGACGTCATACATTTGTAGTTCAGAGAAGTTCATGCACAGAGTACA